CTTTTGACTCTTGCAGCTATCTGGGTTCACTTGTACTCCTACCTTGGACTGTCGATTAGGTGTGGGGCACTAGCGTTCCTGTTATGTTTCTCATTTTGGAACTAGGCACCTGTACGGTTCAATGGTTCTTCAGTTCAACCAGTTTGAATTCCAGGAACACTTTCTGCATGAAAAAACTCAACCCAAACCACCCTGGCATCAAAAATTTCACCAGCCTAGACTCAGACGGCACCTGGCTCTGGATTGACGACTACACTGTCGTCTCCTGAGGACCCTACTGAAGCAGTAAGTGTGCATGTTGGGGAAGCGCCTCAGTTCGCGCACTGGCCGCGGTGCATTTCGGAGCATGGTGATTGTGAGTCTTTGGAGAACGTCAACAAGCATCAACAAGCATCAACAACTATCAACCATCGTCAACGACAATCAACAAATGCCCCAAATCCACCAACAGCATCACCTTCAGCACGCCGTCTGGACATCCAATTCCAATGGCAACTGGAATTCTTCATGGAGTTTTCAGGAGACAACTGACTGAGTTGACGTTTTCATGTTCATTCGCTGCTCAAAAGGAAGCTCCTTGCCATGCATCGTTCCGCCGTGCGAACGCTTTAAGACTTTAAGAAAAAAAACACAGCAACTGATTCTCAGTATTTGGAGCTTTCCGAAGTCATGGGGGTTATCCCAAAATCATCCAAGAGTTGGCAAAATCAATGATATCAATGGCACCCATGGTTTTGGGTTACCATATCCTAGGAAACCTCTGTTTCCTCATTCTCCATCTGCCGAGGTACAAATGGTTTGCGAAGGTCGTGAACATCCAGAATCGTCCCTCCGTGTCGAAATGCTCCAGCAGGTACTCGAAGAAGACCAAGCCTCGGCGTCCGACAAGGGAGCCTGACCCATTTTGGCGAACGAAAATCCACGGCTCAAAATGTATTCATATCTAAGTCTATTTACTATAGGTATAGTATGTATGTATGTGTATATATATATACTATATATATACATATATATATATATGTATATATGTATATATACATATATATATATACATATCTGGAGTGTGCAAGTTGTATTGGACGTAAACGAAGCGGCTTCGCTCCTGCCATCTTGAAATCCACTGGGTGCCCTACTTGGTGAGCGTTCATCCTCGGGGAGCCGTGTTTTCGCTATGGAAATGGGGGATTTCCAAATGGAGGTTATAGAAGTTTCTAGCCTAGTTATATATGAAATATGATATGTATACTATATATATCTATATCTATATATGTGTGTATATAATTATATATGTTATGTATATAATTATATATATAATATATATATATATATGGAAGTGTCCCAAGTCATAGGGGGACCCCAAATCATCCATTTTTTTTGACCATTCACATGTATCGAAACCTAAGGTGACTTGGGGAAGCCCCATTTTAGGAAACCTCCATGTGGATCCGTATGGATCTATCCCGATGATGATGGCCATTGATGATGCTCATAGCTTCATATATTGATTGATAATTACTGACCATGCACATTTGGAGAGAATATGATAAAGATAAACATCTGGACCAAATTAGACAAACCATGGGTATCAATATGTTCTTTATCTCAAAACACAACTTGGCCCCTTGTTGTCAAGGCCCAAGACTCATAGGTACCAGGGTTTACATGCTATGAAGTAGATTCAGTCAGTGAATGGTTCAGTCAACCATGGACTGCTAGGTTTCCAGCTTTTGACTGCATGAAGAGACAGTTCGCACCCGCGTAGAGGATCGTCCTCCAACAAATCAATGGATCGGAACCAAAGTCTACAGAAAACCATGGCTTTACCGACAAATATGAGATAGCGGTTTCCTGTAAATTTTCCCTCAAACCAAGTCTTGGAACAACATCCTGACCGCACTCATTTTGCTGCAGTGGCATATGTCCATTTCTCGTCTGGAAGGCTGTAGCTAGATCTGGCTACATTTTCAACAGTGCTGGAAGGCAATAACATTCCTGTCAACTCATAAAGGTGTTGTATGGCGAAGATCAGGTAGAAAACAAGACTGCTTGCTTCCAACACAAACACCGAGTGCCGTGCGCATTCAGCAGCGGAACATTGTACCTCAGCAAAACACAGTAGAACTGCAATGGAAACACTGTCAAATGAAGGGCCTGTGTGCCTGGGTGCGTGGGCCAACAAGCCTCAGCCAATTTGTTGCCTTGCCCGCCAGTAATCAAACTTTGTAATGACCAAAACTCATCTGTTCATAGTTTTAAAAGAACAGTAGCTAAAATTTGGGTTTCACGTTTGCCAAACCAGTGTTCCTGAAAATAATAAAGGCACCCCCAAAATCCCATGATCGATCCTCCTTTTTCATGAAGAAAACACGTTCAAAGCCCTACATAGTTTTGGTTCGACTTCCATTTTGGGTTAAATTTTGGTTATACCATGTTATACCCCTGTCATTTTTCTTGGGTCTACCCCCTTTGCTGAAACATCCCCTGCTTGGCGGCTGCCCCGGGGTTCCGGCTTGGTTCCAGCTTCCAAGGCCACCATTGGGTCGGAATACATCAGCCTCAATCCACGATTTTGGAGACGTTCTTAAACATGGAACCCAAAAAAATATCATGCATCAAGATATATAAGTATGGATATATATTTATATACATATATCTACATAATATATATATATATATGATATATATATATATGTATATGTATACGATATTATATATATATATGTGTGTATACGATATATATATATATTATATATACATATGATATATGTATATATTATATATACATATGATGTATGTATATATTATTATTATCATTATTATTATCATTATCATTATTATTATCACTATTATGATTATTATTACTATTATTATTACTACTATCATTATTATCATTATTATTATATTATTTATATATATATGATATGATATATATATTTACATGATATGTACAGTATGGGATTTTATGATATTTTAATCTGAAAGAATATAAAAAAGATTCGTACATGGTTACATGGTGATTGGTTGATTGGCTGGACTGTTGACCAAGCGGCTTCTTGATGATGTTCTCAAGGAGTCCCCTGTCCTGCACCATGGATAGTCAGGGCCACCCCCCGAGGTCCCCTTGGTATCATATCATTGTTGGTTGTATGCAAGGCGTAGGCCAGTCAGGTTTGTTTGTTGGTTTGTAAACCCCATTAACTAGCTTAACTAGCTTGTTACATCCCCCATAATTACGCTTCATCAACCCATTCGTAAATCAAGTTGTAAGGAAACGTCAGGGGATAAGTACAAGAAGCCGAGCCAGTTTGTGTTTAAACCCTGCCCCAACAGTCAAACAAAGCAGTTCTTGGAGTTCTTTGATCCAACCAGAGCACAAAATCAGTAAAGCAGAGATCAAAAGTCTAACCAAAGCAGTTCCCTTCTGGGCATTTAACTATGGTATGCATGATTTATCTATTCACAATAGTGATTTTCCAGTTCGCTATCTTGAATTACCACCAGCAGTGTTCGGCTCTCAGGGTTATCCCGTTTCCAACTACTTACGAGTCACGGGATATCCTCTAAGTGGGTAGCAGCCATAGTATATCTACTAATCATTATACCACAGTTACATATGGGTTATATCCCTAGGTATGGAGTGTAGTGTAGAGATTGTGTAGAGTGTGAGGTGTTGAGTGTGGAGTGTGAAGTATTGAGACTGGACCATAAAGTGAGTTACCATCTGGTTATTTAACAGTTCACCATGGAAAATCCCAACCATAAATGGAGGTTTCTAGCTGGGAAAATCATCTATTTCTATGGGCCATCTATACCATGGCTACGTTAAATAACCAGAGGGTATCCGCCCCAGGATCCAAGTCCACCCTATCTTCAGCATGCCAACCCACCGGCTATGCCCGTCCCCTGTGCGGATCCAATTGTCCACATCAGCCTGGCGTCTCTGTTGAATCCACATACCCAGAAGTGTATGTCATGGGAATATCATGGGTACATCCTGGGATAATAAAACAACATAATATAATAATATAATATAATATAATATAATACAATATAACATAATATAATATAATGTAATATAATGTAATATAATATCATATAATATAATATCATATCATATAATATCATATCATATATATAATATAATGTAATAACAAAAAAGGGATTTATATATATATATACACATACTGTATATTGACTATATTGTTTAAAGAAACATATAAACTAAAACTAAATAAAACTATCGTATACTATATTATATTATAATGTTATACTATGATATAATATGATATGATATGTCAAATTTCACATAATATAATATGAAATAATATAATTACATATACTAATACACATATTAATAATTATTAATACACATATTGATACACACATCATATGTTCATATTATACCCACTGCGGAGATCAAGGTGTGAAATCAGGCCTTCAAGCCGCAGATCATGAGCTTCAAGAGGTACGTGGACTGGATGGTTGGAGAAACCTGTGACGCAACGCAAGCTGTCCTATGGGCGTCTTGACATGACGAATTACTGGGGTTTGAAGGGGGAAGAAATCTCAATCATGAAGTTGTTTCACAAGATGACTGGTTGGTGGTATACCTACCCCTCTGAAAAATGATGGACTTCGTCAGTTGGGATGATTATTCCATTCCCAACTGTTTCTGGAAAGTCATAAAATTCCATGGTTCCAGTCACCACCAACCAGATGAATTGATTATATTGTTATTCCCATTATTAACCATTATTAGCCATAGATTAACCATAGATGAACCATAGACCAATCATGAACCATAGGTACCAAACCCAATGTATCTTGTGGTGGTTTCAAGGTTGCGCACAGTCAAGAAAAAAACGCTGGGACATGTCATGATCCAAAATGGATCGGCGGTTTTACTATGGTCTATGATATATACTGTGTGTATATATATATTATTATTATTATTATTAATTATTATGATTATTATATCCTGACTATATGTAAATATATATAATCATATATATATATATTATATCATATATTATTATGATATAATATTATTATTATATCCTGACTATATATTATATCATATATTATTATTATTATATCCTGATGATATAAATATATAAAATTATATATATATATTATCATATATTATTATTATTATATCCTGACTATATATATAAATATATATAATTATATATATTATATCATATATTATTACTATTATTATATCCTGACTATATATAAATATATAATTATATATATATATATTATATCATATATTATTATTAATATCCTGACTATATATAAATATATATAATTATATATGTATATTATATCATATATTATTATTATCATTATATCCTGACTATATATAAATATATATAATTATATATATATATATTATATCATATATTATTGTTATTATATCCTGACTATATATATATATATATTTAATTATAATTATATATATATGTGATATCTGTAAAGTCATATCAAAAGAACCCATTCGTTACTGGAGGGGAACATGTTTTTGTTGATGTGACTATGTACGGCTATTATGTAATATATCCCAGCTGCAAGTCGTCATACTCACACATTTACACCATACCAGGCCGAGGTTTTCTCACTCTGCAATCTAGCTAACTCCACAAAAAATATTCCAAAGCTTCTGGAAAAAGAAACATGCAATTCACTAACCTGAACAGTTCAGCCGTTTTGCGTTCGTTCCCACAATCAAATTCACCATCATTCCAGTGAATTCTCTCAGCTTCCCCAATGAGATAGTGATGAGGACTGCAAATTCTACCCCCATGACATTTCTCCCAAAAACAGATCCTCAATATTATGTCCCCATTGTCTCATAAACACCACCATTTTTGGTTATAGTTCTAGCCCCAGAAAAAAAAAAAAACACCCGAAATCGAAGCCCCATTGAAACATATTGAAACAAGAAATGATCTCCCAAGGGTCCCAAGTCTTTCACAGATCAGATTCTCCGCCTTCATCTCAGGCAATGTGTCCACCTTCAAGGAATGGGTGAAGGGGTCCGGCAACTTCATGCTGCTCGGGAAGGCAGCCAAGATCAGGTTTCCTGACACCAGGCAGGAGATCATCAACCAATGTAGGAAGAACAATACCCTCTGGTTATGTCAAAATAGCTATTGAAAATGGCCATTGAAATAGTTAAATAGATTTAAATAGTTGATTTACCCATTAAACATGGTGATTTTCCATAGTTATGTAAACGTTTACCAGAGCGTAAAGAATATGTCAAATCACCAATCAGACCATGCGTTTGTTCATGTGTTTTCGTTGACACTGTAGAACTGACTTCTCGTGTCTTTCAACTCTGAGAGCCATGACAGCATACTGCAGTCATTGTATATCAGTATTTGATCCCAGGAAGATCAAACGTGAAAACAATCTGATACATGTTCACTCAAACTTGAGAAAAAAAAAAACACTGTTCACGAGGAAAAGCACCACCACTGTCTTTCCTCTCTTGAAACAGAAGTGACCCTCAAGTCAATAATGTCATACACGCATGGGACGCACATGTCACAAAAACAACCCGTCACCCCGTCTGCCGTACGTTATCAATTATTGAACGTCGTTTCTTTTCATGTTTGTCCTTTTCATAGCGACTGTCGATGTCATTTGCAAAGATGAAAACCTGGCCTGAGAAAATCTACACCTATCTACACCTAATCTTCTCAAATTTTGTGTGTGTGTGTCAACCCTAAATTAGGAAGATTTCTGTTTTTTTTGTCTCTGGGTGTGGTGCGGTGCATATGTTATCATATGTTGTTGCAAACCGGGTCGTTTCGAATGACAAAAAACCGCAGATGTAGCGCAACGTCTGCCGATTGATGTAGCGCAATCGGTTTCTTGCATGCATTTCCAGTCGCAGCTCACATGACTACCAAGTTGCTTTGGAATGAATGCCTTGCACCCACTCCAAGCTTCATCCATCCTTTCAGTATGCACTTGATATACATATATATATATACACAGTAGTTGTCTCACAGGTAAATTTGCGAATGGACTGCTCCATGATCTCCGGTTACCCCCCCAACCCGACGAATGGATGATCTCCGCAATGGCAATGTCAACCCAGCAATAAACGGTTTTTTTTTCGCGGGGTATCCGCACATGGTAGCCCCCCCAAGAAAAAACATATCCTTGGAGCTATGAATCTGGGGTTGACAATATTAAATCATAGGACATCATAGGACCATATTTTACCGCCACAAATGAGATCAAATTTGGATCGCATCGTTTTCACGCCTTAACTAAACATGGATCCCCATCATGATGGGTGAAACACCCGTCCCCATCTTAACAAAGGATAACACATGCATCATATAATATGGCATGTTATGAATATCCCATCTGAAAAAACTAACGATATATCGTGCTATCATAATATATCATATGAAATCATAATCATTTCAGTCCCAGTTTTAGGATACTTTCAACCCGAAAAAAAACACAAGGCCCAGCGTCGAATCTGCACACACTGCCAGGGGATGACATCACCTCAAGGAAACACCAACTTAGCTATCCTTCTTGAGTTCAGAAACATCGACTGAGGTTGAGGCAGAAGATCATGTGGTATTCCGAAAGGAATTCCGGGAAGTCGTACAAGAGCGCCTCAGGTTTCTTAACATCGTGGTGTGTCTGAAAATGGTTTGGCTATGAAATAATTGGGAAAATGATGACAAACCAGAAGAAATTTCCCACCATTTTCAGACAACCCATCGAAACCACTGACTGAGCCTGTCATACTCGGAACTATTCCATGATGGCCCTGGTTCTTTGCTTAGCGCCCAGTTTAAAGATGACCATCAGAACCCATCAAAAAAAATATTGCCAGACATGCTTCTGAGAAAATAATCTCACAAATTCTGGCAAGTACTTCGTACATGGAATCATGATAGAACAATTTCGGAGCACATCCAGCAGCTTGTAGCAGCCTACTCTCCAGTAATCAATCATCACTGGGAAATCCCCCACTTACTGTTTTTTTCCCATTGAAATGTCCGTCCTCGGGGATGTCCCATGATTTCCCCTATGTTTGATGACACCGGAGAGTGCTTGCCGTGCTTGCCAGGCGACTAGGAGCGTTCGCAGAGTGCACTTGTAGAGATTCCGGATGACGTCCTGGGTCATGTGTTGACGCGGACAGGCGGACAGCGCAAAAAATGAAAAAACCATTGCGATGTGGCATGTTGTGTATGATATTTATATATATATACATAAGATATGCTTCAGAGTAGAGTGAATGAATGAACGAAGGAAGCAATGAACGAATAAAATATATTAACTGTGTAACAAATATAAACTGCATAAACATATAAACTGCATAAAAGAATATAAAAGATATAAACTGTCTAAAAAATGTATAAAAGATATAAATGTATAACATATGTAATGTGTATCAACGATATAAAATGTAAAAAAATATAAACTATATAATTAAAAGATATAACATATATCAAATATATATATATATATGTATTATATTATAAAATATAAAACACATGATAATATGAGCAGTTGTCAAAAAGTCATTGTCTTCGCTAAGTTCCCAAAAAAAAGGTATCGCTTTTGGGGGGGGCCATTGCTACCCATGGTTTTGCAAAAAAAGGACAGGAAAAGGAACGGACAAGGAAAGGAAAGGGTCTATTTGTGGTCTGGGACTACTTTTTGAACAAATGGGTATCGCTAGAGTAGCGCTAGGGGTATCACTAATTTCGCCTCTTGCATGTACGCAACTTTGTGCAAAACAGCTTGAGATGTGGACATTATGCACAATTATATGTATCGCTTTTGGGGGGCATATCGCTGCACAGTGTTTGGAGCACTTTCCAGACACAAGAGAACTCTCCTTTACAAAAGTAGTATACCATAATTATATATATATGATATTATATATTATATATGATATATCATATATATACATGTGATACATATTATAATATATATATATATATGTATACATATACACATGGCTGTGAGTCAAAATTGTGCTTGGATCGTTCCGCGGTGCTCCCGATGTCTGCGACTTAGGACTTAGGCCCCAGCAGACATGCGAATCCGCGCCAAGTATGGGCCGATGAAGTTCAAGAGGCCCATCTTGGAGAATGGCAGGGTAAAACACATTCGGAACATATAGCAACACATGGAAAATTGCCCATGTATAGTTGATTTACCCATTAAAAATGGTGATGTTCAATAGCTGGGTATGGATCAATACCTATGAAAATACCATTTTTAGGGGAATGAACATCCATTTTAACCCAGCTATTTTGATGTGAATAGAAGGGGTACAAGGTTTTGACACACTGCCATATAGGAAAACATAGGAAACGATGGGAAAAAGGTTGGGTAAGACTTGTTACAAAAGTTACAAAATCATGGGGATAGAACCAACAATATCTATCTAGATATGAAAGTGTCCGAAAATGGGGGTATCCCGCCCATTTGGGGGAATTTCAATACTATTACTGATTACTAGGGAAAATATGGTAAAATAATGATTAACGCAATATACGTCATCCAAATCATTTCAGTAAATCATCCGTCACAGTTCTCAAGAAAATTCTAGTCTAACAGGTTCAGAGGGGCTAGTTGGGCGCTGCATTCTGATACTCTAAGGGAACAACCCTAACCCAATGGTTACTCATCATGGTCTCAAAAAAAAATGCCATTTGTGGGATCTACCATGGTCCCGTTTTCAAACAAACCCACATTGAAGTGAGATGGAGATTAGTGGCTTGATGGAGTGAATGAATGCATAGGCACTGGGCACAAAACTTGAGTCAGTGACAGTGACGTGCGTAATCTTTTTTACGAGGAGAATGAGTGATTGAGCGGCCTTGAGGTGTCATTGAGTACGATGTCCTTGAACAAGTTTTGAATTGAGTAGATCAGTGATTCATGAGATTGCGACAGATTCTGTGAGTTCAGCGACTGATGTTTGATGACAGGAAAAATGGGTGGCATCACTTGGTGGCTCATCCCACTTAGTAAGTGGGTTATAACCCCAGTTATAAGTGGATTAACCCTACTTATCCCATTTATAACTGGGGTTATAACCCACTTACTAAGTGGGATGAGCCACCAAGCACTATCAAATCTTAAAGAAAGACGACCTTGCTCGTGTTGACTCTTATTGCATCAAACCCTCGTTGGTCCAACACCAAACGAGCGAGCGAGGGAAACGATGACTCACTCATTCTGAAGCGATGTTTCAAAGTGTTCTGTCATTTTGAGAAATGGGTGTGTGTCAAAACCTTGTACCCCTGGTGAACATCAAAATAGCTGGTAAATGGATGTTCATCCCCCTAAAAATGGTATTAATAGGTATTGATCCATTTCCAAATAGATGTACGGAGCTGCTTCAAAGAGTTTCTCAACTACATCACAGAATGGACGTGTTGGGAATTCTCGAATAAGACTTAGATTATGGCACCATGAAGCCATGAACCCCGACCCGGCCTACGGTAAACATACAAAAAGCAACGAACATGGCCATTGAAATAGTGAGTTTTCCCATTAAACATGGTGGATCTTTCCATAGTTCTGGTAATTTAACATAGCTATAGAAAATCACCATTTGAAAAATAGGTAAACCAATGTAAACCATCTATTTCTATGGGCCATTGTCCATAGCTATGTAAACGTTTACCGGGCCGGGTACACAATCTCCAGCTATCGAACCAGCTTGGGCTTCCCAGCAAAAATGCGCTGGAACCTGGGGCAACACGCGCGCCCGCTTGCGGGATCGAGTCGATGTCCCGTGGGCGCCGGTGGCTTTCCGAACAATAAAGAGAATGATAAATGGTTGTAGTCATCCAAAAATCAAAGATATCAATCATCATGTGTTCCCAAAACTAAATGGATAGAAATGGATAGAAATGGATGGAACTGGATAGAACTGGATAGAAATGGATAGAAATGGTTGACTTACTTAAAGATATCTAAAGTAATCATATCCCAAAAGAATTCATGGTGGATCCTTGCGAAGCACCGCAGTTGGTCTCCCGGCAAAAGCCATCCCCGGCGCTGCGGGATGTTGAGAATGCGCGTCCTGGGTAGAGAAATGGAAGAGCCTCTATATAGCTATGGGAAATCACTATTTATTAATATAGCTATGGTATATTGTTTATGGGAAATCACTATTTATTGATATTGTTTATGATAGTTGTTTAAGGTAAATCACCTATAAAATCAGAAATCATCGACAACTGGGCCATGTTCCATAGCAATTTTGAATCACCAGGGAATATTCCACCATTCTATGGTCCCAGTCATATGTGGTTTCATCCCCTACATCCACCATGGTTTTTGGGGGTGTTGGTCCATATGAACGGGGGATGGGATGATGTTTGGCCCATATCCAATCACGACAGTTGGAGAACGTCAAGGTAAGCAGGTTGGCCATCTTCTTTATATACTGCTATTTTCTTTACGTGCTGGACAATCAGCGATAGCCAAACAACACTGGTATTTTCTGGTTGCGAAAAAAAATAGAAACATATCGAATACATCTGGATACTGGTCTGTTCTGGACGGATTCCTATGGCGAACCAAGAAGTGTAATTTAGTAATACTTCTCAGGTTTGCCGCAGCTTTCTGGCATCATCGTGCGCTGTTTCTTCTTCAAATGGGCCTTGTAGAGTTCAAATGTTTGAGTACTTGACATTCGAGCAAGCAAGAAACAAGAAGGTGTCAAGATGTCTATGTACTGGCATTTCCTATGACTTATCAGAATCCCCAATAAATGAGGTAGATAAGTCTCGAGTTCTTAACCAATGCCAGGTTATTTGGAGGTTTCCTAAAAAAGGGGTACCCCTAGGCCCCTAGTTATTGTCCATGTTAGATCGGGATTTTCCATGAAATAAACCACCCATGACTCAGGAAACCTCCAAATTAACAATTGTCCACCATTATTCACCATTATTAAGGCTTATTAACCATTATAAATCCCCATTTTAACACTGACGCCTTGAATATAACACTCCATCCATGGAGGACCCATAGACAAAAAATACATACATACATATATTGATTGTATATTTATTGATTGTATATACATACATAGCAACCCAAAAAAAAATAGAAATGCAAACTCCTATCAAACTATCACGTTTCGATCTTTCTGGGTGTACTATAGTATACATACACATCTATAAACCTGTATATCTGATTGTATTATGCGCATTCTATCCCCATAGCATGATTGCCGCCCATGTTTGTCGTTGAAACACATGGCACGTCATGGTCAAAACATCGTTTTTCTATGTTTATGGTCGTCACACCGCTGGGAATCCCTATGAAAATGGATGGGATGGATTCTTCCCATCCCGTGGGCGCACGGACTGGGAATATGGCTAAACGATGTAATCTTTGACCATGGCATATGTTAATAGTGGTCCATACAGATTACGAATTACCATGTTTATTCATCCTTCAATATAAGCATATATAAGCGACAAACATGGTGATTTTATGTGGCATAAAACCACGCATTTTTTGAAGACAACCCCCTCCAGTCATGGTGAATCTTAGATACCTGCCAAGAAAAATTAAAGTTTTAGATAGTTTTAGCTGGGTAGGACATTTTACCATTGATAGCTGGGTAGGACATTTTACCATTGATAGCAAAAGATATCAAAACACAGCAGTTCGTATCAAGTTCCAAAGGTTGACCTAGCACTTCGTATCACTTCGTCATTGTCGCGCCGGGCTCCCCGTCATGAACTGCTTGTGGCTGATGAGGTCCAACCAACTGAAGCAAAAGGCCGGCACCCGCATGGGGTTCAAGGCCTGGCCAGGTGAGAGACTGGGACGACCTGGGACGCATGGGAGCTGGTGATAAGCCTACGATGAGTTGGTTCATCCCCAGCCAGTTGGGTTTGTCTGAAAATAGTGTACCCCTACACCCAATGGTTAATGATCATTATCCCTACTAAATGGCTATAATTGGGGGTATACCCCATTTTCAGACATCCCCAGTTAGAGTTAGATCCAGTTGGGTGAATTGGTTCACTATCCCCAAGTTTCAAGCATCAGCATCGGCGCCCAGATGAAGCCTCCAGATTAACCCATCAACACAGCTATGTTTGAATAGCTCAGGCCAGCCTGCGTGTGTGACCACAAGTGTGGGGTTTTAAATCATCATCTGTGGAAAGACCTGAAATTCCGCTCATGCCCACATTTCTCATATGAAAAAAAAATGCGATATTTTGATATATGATGGGTCATTCTATATGTCATTCTCCCGAAAAATTGACCCAGAATTATGAAAAAAACGTTTTTTTTTGAGCATCAGATATTGCCATTGGATGCCATTGGGATTTTACCTCCCCTCTGGATCTCCAGAGATCTCCAGAGATCCGGCCCGGGCTCACCAGGAAAGTGTCCGAGATCAGCTGCAAGATCTTCCAATTGTACTGCTGACTGAGGTCTGTGGGCCTCGAGGCCTGGCCATTTAAATGGCTCCGAAAAATAAAAGACCTGGCTTAAAACAGAGATTCCGGCTTTGGGCATTGAAAAAGGCGATGTTTATAGTATTACCATGTATGACCCATCCAAAAATGTGGTACTCCAATTTTGATCCATACCCAATTTTGATCCAAATATACCCAAATCAGAAAATGCCGTACAGACTGTGGTTCACAAGGGGGCTCATTGAGCCCCTGTGATTTGGCACCTCCGGCGTTGGGCAATGGGCAGTGTCAAGGAGGATGTTCATGAGAATGCGGTGCCAAACACCTGAAGGCAGCCAGGCTGGGATCTGAATTTATTCTCGGTCACAACTATGTAACTATTCGATACTATTCGTCCATTGAGGCCCCGTGATGACGAGTGCAAACAACTGCAAATGACGGGACGACGTTCGTCGAAGCTTCAACCGAGCCACGTTGGTTGAACCTGGTTTCCTGCGCTTTGGCCGTGGCAGCCAAGGCCTCGCCGACATCATCGCAGGATATCCCGTTGGTTGATTGTGGAGACCTCCCAAAAAAAACAGGTGCAGCCCATAAAAACCCAATGACTTACCACCTGATAGGTATTCAAAACCCATTAAAAAAAAAACAGGGTGCGCTTATTGCTACTTGATTCTCCCATGTTTGCCGCATTAACTATATAAACCACTGAACATCACTGAATATGTTGTGGCATCTGACCTAGTGGATTACGGAACAAATGCGACCGGTCGCAGATTCACCAAACTCTTATTGTTTTAGAGCCGCAGGTTGTCAGAGTGCGCTTTTTCATCATTTTCTATCATGAATTGTATGTAGAGAGATCATGGCCCAGAGGATTTACATTAAATGAATAAAGTAACATGTTTGTTCATGATTTTTTATGATCGTTTGAGGCGTCGTAGCTTGTTCTAGCTAGTTCCATGCGCTTATAGCAGAAGCAGAGATAGAAGAGGAAGGTCAGTGGTCACATCATGTCACTGATGTTTGGCAGTAGCTTAAGCACATCAGGCAACAATGAAAACTACAAGATCCTTTTTGAGCAAAGCCATTAAAATAGCTTGGAAATAAATATTCAGTTGGGGAGAAATATGTATATATATAATGTAATACAGAAGTTGTTGCTATGAAATAGTGTATTGAGCCAATGAATATTAGAGATACTCGGAATTCAATTTTGACCGGTTGCGCCATACTCAAACGATAGGGTGGTCTTTGCTTCTTTGTTGCATATCTTGAAAGCAAGTGTGAACAAGAAGAAACTATACTTTTGATTAACAGGAGATTTCATGTTTTTCCCCAAGCAGTGCTGCATCTTCTTGACAGAAATCCTTGCATCATAAAGAGATGTGGTATGTTTTGCAAGGATAAACATACTGTTCTCTTTAAACATGGTGTGATTTCTAATCATAGTATCAGCTCAGGATTTGAGGGAAACAACATGTTTTTCATGTAACATATTTGTTCAGAGAGGAGACTGCACTATTTAAGAAATGGTGCATCTTCGACCAAGATGCTGTCTCTTCAAAATAGTCTTGGAATTATTTAAAGAAATGCTCCACATTTGAATCACTCCCTTCATACATCAAATGAAAACTGCGTGTACACTGGTTGAGAAAAATAATGTGTGTGTATATAGATATATATAATATATCATCACATTATAAGTCTTATATGATGTTTAATTAATTAAATAACACTTGACCAATTGAAAAAGAACAAAATTGACGGAATTGCATTTTTCAAGGCTGCAACTTTTTAAGGCATATTACTGCATGGTGTACATTTTAAATGCTTACAGTTTGCTGACGAGAAGGTTCCACGTTATACAAAGAATGTACACTACCCTATGGAAAAGAATGGATTCAGCAGGGCAATGTGCTTGGATGTAAAATTAATTCTATTGTTCTGTGTGTTCATGTATGTTCTTTATACATATATACACATGCATATGGGTATCTAAAAGAGAAATGTTTTTTGGTTGAAAACAAATTGTAACGGCAAACAAACTTGCACACCCAAAGTGTCTTTAAATACTTGGAGGGTTTGGTCTAGGTCCATGTTTTTACATTCTATTTAGATGTGCCAGCCAAGTCTTTTGGAACAAATACCATCTGGTTATTTAACATAGCCATGGAAAATGGCCCATTTATAGATGGTTTACCTATCAAAAATGGTGATTGTCCATGGCTATGTTAAATAACCAGAGGGTAAATCAACCAAAAACCCAGAAAATAGACCACCACTTGGATGAGCCTTCAGACTCAGCAGCTAGGACTATGCAGGAACCATGGGCCGATTTTTGGCAAGGAAAACTCCAACAGATTTGAAGCCAAAAACTCTAAAAATATGGAATTGATAAAAAACCTCGAGGAAAAAAAAAAGTCCTGAACTCTTTGGGGCGGGGCTCCCAACCAAGACTCTCTGAGAATTATGTTTTTTGTGTGTTTTGTTGTTTTTGTTTTTTTTTGTTTTTTTTCTGTGTTTGTGATTTTTGTTTTTCCAAAGTGTTTGAGGTTTTTCACAGTTCCGCCGGAATTTGGCAGCTGCGTCCAAACCCATTAGAACCATGAACATTCAGAAGCGCAGGTCCATCAGAGTGCAGTACCTCATGAATTATAAAGCTATTTGTGTGGCAAAACTGCACTTTGGTGGCCTGCCGTTCTGCTATTTTTCCGGCACTGAAGGTCTATATTTAGCGCTCTTCCATTGACGCAAAAGCACCGCGTTCGACATCATGCACTTTAGACACAAATCAGGCGCGCAAAGCTCTGCAAATGGTTGCTGTTTGCATTCTCCCAATCTACTTTGCTCCGAATTTCCTGGCATCGACTGTGTACTGAAGTGAAGATCCCGTGGTGTAGCATGAAGTACGCATGCAAGTGCAAACAAAACTCATTGTCACTTCCGTCCATCGGCGCATTGCAATAGTTTACGCACCAGTGCGTGCGATGAGCGTATAGCAATTTATCATAGAAGCACTTGTGTGAGTCAGTGCACATGAACGTCCTTTACTGCCCCACCCCACCCCATGATGAACCTAGCGCATCAGTAACGTGTACAGTGCGACCAAAAGGAGACAAATATCCTGAAAAAAATGCACTACTATGCAGACTATACATGTGCTTTTTCAATCCCCCATATGGACCTCCAAAATGAATAGATGCACTACTCTCTGGTGATTTAACATAGCTATGGAAAATCACCATGTTTCATGGGAAAATCCACTATAAATGGCCATTTTCAATAGTTATGTTAAATTACCAGAGGGTAGATGCACTAAACCACCATGGGGTCTTTCTGTTTTTGTCGGTCCAACTTTCCCGGATGGCGCGGCGCCAAGCAGAAATCCCCAGCCCAGCCATTTACCGCGCACCTTGTGAATGGCTTGCAGCGCACATTTCAGGATCCCAACGGCCTGGTTGATCATGTGATAACTTCCAAAAAAGCCAAATATCGGATGTGTATGAAACATTTATTAATTGTGTATTCAATATATATATGTATAGTACTATACTATATATATATAAACATATAACTTATGTTGTATTAATCATTTATATATCGTACTATACTATATATTCATATTATACATATAAGTGCATGTATGTCTATAATGTCTATTTCAAGCCAAAACGCGCTCTTGTGCTACAACTCTTCGGGGTGCAGTTCGGGCTATTCATGGGTAATGTCAAGTCAGGATTAGTCAACACCCCGTTATTAAGCAACCTCCTCCCGCAAAAATAAAAATGTAAATTAAAAACAGGTGGTCCCCATTAATAAACTTTTTGGCATGGACATAATTAATCAACCCCCAGTGCTGAAATATCTTTTCTTTATCCAAAAGTGTTTATTTCCAATTCTTTATGTTCAAATGGTTTCCTTATGATATACATAAGTTGAAACCTCATGAACACCAGAACCCATCACTGCTGATCATTGAAAACTTGAAAAAACAACTATTCCCCAAATGATCGATTTCTAATTAAATTATTTATAAAAATCATCAGTTTGGATAGCTCCCAAAGGGTACCCCCCATGAGCCCATGTCCCCCATTAATAATAACCAGGGTTTGCCCCTTATTAATCAAACCCCCATGTCCAGAGGGCGTTTATTAAGGGGTGAAACAGAAAAGACCTGACAAGGTCCATCTGACCTTGTGCGGGGGGGGGGGGGCGTTTATTAATCCGGTGTTGGCATTACAGTATAACATGGTATACCCTCTGGTAAACATACAAAAAGCTATTGAAAATTGCCCATTTATAGTTGATTTACCCATTAAAAATGGTGATTTTCAATAGTTCCAGTTGATTATTATAAATCACATGAAATCCTCTATAATGGGGTACCAGACCCATTAAAAATGGTGATGTTCAATAGCTATGTTAGTCATTACCAGAGGGTAACCATGGGATAAAAAAACCATCACAAGTTGGATTCAACGTGATTCAACTGCAACAATGGGCTCTGTATATCCACGGAAAAATCCACTTACTGTCTAACTGGGATTGCATGCACTATCTTGGATTCTAACATATTATATATATATATATTCATGGCTATATTCCATGGGAATATCACTGCTATAAAACCTACCAGGAAATATCATGGGATATTGGGGTTCTTAGAATGAGGAATCTCCAAATCACCAAACATTGGGAAACCACAGGTGAAAAGGGGTGTACACCAAGACTCAGAAATAGAATACTTTCTGTAGACGTGTAGAAACCATGATGAAACTTCTAGAAGCTACCAGGGAATGAATACTGAGAACATTATGAACATTGAGAATCGTAGTTGTGCAGTAGCCATCAAATGCCACATCAAACGCCATAGGTAAGCCTCTATTAATGGGCCATTTCCCATGGCTATGTTAACCAGAGGCTAGTTGTGTAACACAAAAAACTACCTCGAAATTCGAGTCATCAGTCATCATGTCCATCCCTGAGTCCATTTCTGCCACCTGCCTGCGTGGTGAGATTGATGGGCCAATCGATGAAACGGCCCAGAGCTTCACTAGGCTTCCTGCGTGGGTCTGACCAATGGCTATCGAGGAACAAACATGATCATTTCATCCGTAAATTGCCACCCCTAAAATACGCTTCGACTTCGACCAAAAAAAAGGCGAAAAAAGGTTGGAGCAATCCTGTTACGACAGGGAAGACTTGGGGATTCTTAATGAATATGTGAGGAAATCATATGATGAATCATACCTAGGCATGTTTGAAAAACTCGAACCAACAATATGCGGTATTGGTCAAAAACCGAGACCCGTATCACCAAAGATTTTGACGGCTTTGGGTAGTAGTAAACTTATGAATGACCCATGACCTATTTTGGGGGTACCCCGGTGTACCTTTCTTTCACCGCCCACGTGCAACAACATCAGACATCACCAATTTGAAATGTGGCAAGTCTTGCTAAGTGGAAAAAAACATGAAAAAACTCATCCAAAAACTTTTTTGTGACTTGTAATTGGGATCATCCCAGACACGGGTACCATGGGTACCTTTACGAATTTCTTGAGTGGAAGCCCCGTTTAACGATCGGCTTCTCCAGGTCGGGTGGACAACAGCCACAACAGCCACAACAGCCACAACAGCCTCGGATCGAGGTTTTCGGGTCCCCGCGCTTCAGTAAGGAGACGACCAAATAGCTGAAGGAATCCACAAATCCGAAATCCGACGGCCCTTTGTGACCCCTCAGCTGGATAGCTGGGATAGCTGGGATGGGATTGGATGGGAAAGCCGCAGAAGTTTGTTTCTTAAGGAATCAATGTGTTTTGATCGACCTGACCAAGGTTCAAAAGATCCAAGAAGTCTTTGATCAAGAAAGCAACGTGAATCCAGCTAAAGACTGAATCTGAAATCAAACAGTTGGCTATTTTGAAGTGTCAAAACCTCATGATCTTCAGGCACAAAGCTACAATCATGATGTGACCCATGCTTTCCAGAAGGATTTTACCATATTTTACCCTCAAGTTGTGTCACCGTAAGTTCCTACAAATTGAGGTTATCAACCCCTGATTTTGCCAATGTTTCCCCATCATTAACTGGCCTTTAAATCTACTTCTTGGATGTTCTTTGGATGATTTTGGGATGCCCAGGCTGCAGGGCTTGGTTCTTGGGGAAAGCTGCAGGATTTTCCCATGTCCTCGAAATCATCCAGCTGCTCTCTCCGTCTCTCTCTCTCTCTCTAAAAAAAAGAAAAATAGACATAGAACATATCATATGTAATACACTATAGTATGATAACATATGATATAATGTAGTGTATTACAGCAAAACGATACGATACGGTATAAATCATAAAATGATGTATAAAATAACATGATATTGTGTGATATGATATGTACATATATATGCTATAATAATAAAATAATATAGTGATAAAACATAATAAGATAATGATATAAATTGATATAATATATAACATGCATCCTGAAGGAGATAGAATATATTAGAATATGGGATTGTCAACGATCTTCCGAAATTTCGAATGTGGGGATTTCTTGTGTCCATTGAGCCAGAGATGGACCTGGGATTTTCTGGGTCTCCAGCGGGGCCTGCTCGGCCTTGGTCCCGGAAGGAGATTCTGATGGAAAAATCGAATCTGATATGGATTAACAACCTGGATTAGATATGATTATATGTATATTATATGATAATATGATGATAATATATGTATTCTATTGGTTAATAAATGTTAATAAATGTTAATAAGCTTAATGGTTCAACAACCAGTATGGTGGATCAACAACCAGTGAGATTGTCAGCCCAAAAAGGCTGTATATCAAAGTGTATGGCTACAATCACTGCGCAGACTTGACTGGCTGTTACACTGTTGGATGGAAGCATAGAAGATATGATACTACAAAACACTATAACAATCGCAAAGATGACAGCAATAGAACATGCAAGGATATCAGTGTCACAAGGGATCTCTCACCACCATGGTCTTTCGATCAGAGTCAGTACTGGCCCCAAAAAAAGGTGCCCCTTTTTAAAACCCATGGTGTATCACATTAAACAGCCAGAATGTACCAGAAATGCTACCATGAATCCATCTGGTTCGTTGGTCCAGTCCTCAATTCGCTGCCCGGTTTCACTGTTTCGCTGAGTCTTCCTGCTTCCTCCAACCTCAAGGTGTGGTTGCAGGAAAGTCAATGCCAGAAATTTATGGTTGCATTTTCTGTTTCCACCTATGGTCATTCATTGGGGATGGTTTAGGGTTTAGGGCCTAAAGGGTATTGGGTTCACCACATTAGAAAGACTCAAGCGTGCTCATTGAAACACACATAACCATAGGAAATCTGTCCTATGCAGCTAGTGGAGATGTCAAAATGAATCCGTTCAGACAAAAACAACCGGATTGATTGAAATGAAATTTCCGGGTTCCTATTCCAAAAGGTCTTGTCTTATAATATCTTATAATCGCTGCTGCTCCTATACCATTCACATCATAATTCGCATCAATCGATCTCAATGCATCACTCGGATTGCTTGAGGAACCCCCTTAAAAAAAAAAAAACACTGCACTTTTTCAATTCCCCAGTAATTCATCGTCCCATTGGCGAAATGATCCAAATCATCGGCTAGCGCACTGAGTTTCACGACTTCTGCTGAGCGTACTTCACAGTGTACTCCACACCATACTGAGCAAATGTCACCGGCCATCAGCGAAAGCATGTCACAGCCATTATGACAGTGATACGAGAAAACGCAAAAGGTCGATGACCCACAACAGCTATGAAAAAATTGTTGACAAGAAACCCCAGTGATAACTGATATGGGGTTGATATATTAAGACATGCGGTTGATATTGATACTGATCCATGGGATAAGTGAAAAGATTGTTAATGCATATTGCATGCTGGGGTCTTGTTTCCCCATTAAAAGCATGGGGACATGGTGTCCCTCATCACCAGTTCTAAGCTGGGAACTCTGAAGAAAAGCTCCACGGTTTCCTCGCTGGAGTGGTTCGGACCTGCGTTCTGTGGGTTTTTGGCATCTTTTGGCCCCTCGAGCCGCATGGTGACATGTTCCTTTCAATCTTAACAGTAGAGGCAAGTCTGAAATCATGCCGGTATCTGCAGAAGGCATACCTGCGAAAGCAAGGCCTTTCCAAAGAGGGAAGTAATGGGAAGAATATAAATCCTTGGACAAACTGATCTGTGTAAAGCAATAATGATACAGTATATAATATAATAAAATATAATAAAATCTTACTTGTCTGGAGCTGGAACTTGTTTTCAGGGCCGTGTGACCTGTCAGTACATTTGTCTGTAGGCGGAAAGCATGCAGCTTTCGACGTTCATGCACGACCTATCCATGAGTAGTGATGGAGCATCGGGCGGATCGCATCAGTGGATGACTATGAGGCGGGGGCCAGATCCAGATCCGTATCATATCTTCGCATATAAAAATGGCAATAGATTGGAGTGTGTAAAATTGTATTTCAAGATATTTCAAGCCACCGCTGGACAGTTCACCATTTTTTCACATCTACCGTTTTGTATCCATTTGGATATTTTCCCCAAACAAATTGCCAATTGCCAGTGGCTTTCCATCTGAATGCTGCCAAAGGACTGAACAACATGCCGATGATTTTCTGCAAGAGCCCTCCCACTTGCCGATTCTGGGTATGGCCTCAGCGGCTGAGCCCCAAAATGTTTCCATTGGTGAAGCCGGGGCCCCGCAGACTGGCGTGGTTTATTGGGGACACGAACTGCACAGAAATCATCAGAGTCGTGGGATCCTGCCTCACACCGAGTTGCTATTGGGTTTTTTGTTTTCAAACGTTAGATCGTTAAAACACCCTGCATGTCCCTGCACTGCAGAAAAATCTTCAGTTTCTCTGTTTAAAAATGTTTAAAGGGTTACAAGTGGGTTTTGTGCGGGATTCAAACGTAGCTGGGCTGGAAAATCCACCGAATGGGGACCTCTTGGCGTCTCGGTGTCCGCGCCCATGTGGTCCAGGGATGGAGGGTGTTGCCCGTCAGCCTGGACCAGATCATACCAGATCGGCCATCATGTTGAACATTGTTGAACCTCCCAATTTTTTCATGGGTAAAAAACGGTAAAAACCAGCTTCAGAATGGTACTTTGAGATGGTTTAACCATCCAAAAAAATGGGGATGTTCTTCTGGGACTTTTTTCTGGGACTTTCGGCGACAGTCTCATGGTTTTTTTAGAGGGGATGGGATCAATGTAGTTTTTTCTGCCCAAAAAAATCAGATTGACCCATCTCACATCATCCCAAATTCAAAACAAAAAACCACAGATTGTTCCAAGAACGGCATTCATTTTTTTTGACCACCCGAATTTCCAGGGCACCTGCACAAGCGAGTGCCATTCATGAAGTTGCTTAGACACCTTGGAATTGATCATGAGTTAAGAGTCCCAACAGGAGTTGGAATGGGGATAGAAACTATGGAAATTTCCATGGGAAATATCAGTTGACCCAGCTCCTGGGAATCTTCTGTGGAGATTTTATGGGATGGGGATATATTCGCAATATGATCATGGAATATCCTGGATTGAAGGGACATTTTGCAGGAAATCTTGGGTATCTGTATCTCGTGTTTTGCAGAGGCTTTCCTTCATCCAGGGATGATCATCAATAACTTTATCAACTTTGGGAGGAAACGGTGGATGCCAGAGGTCTTAGAAGACCCAAAAGCTATGACTGGGTCTCAACCTGAAAGTCTTAGGAAAACATGGGAAAACCACGAAGAATCGAATGGCTGATGGGAGTTCATCGTGGGGTTTCCCATGGTTTGTCCACATGGCCACAAATTGCAATGCATCGCTCAACATGACATTACTTAGACTTAGACCTTCCAAATACCCACAAACATTGCTACAACATGCTTAAAGTCCCAAAAGAATGGGCACATTTTTTCTAGGTACTTGCAGGGTCTATCTAGGTATGTCCCTTCATGCCTTTCATTTGCAAAATGTCTGGGACACCCGGGCAGTATCTGCATCAAACTGTGCCTGGCAGTTGGTACTTGGGTTTGTTTCAAACATGGGGTTGATCACGAATGATACTTGGAGGTTTCCCAAAATATTGGTACCCCCAAATCATCATTCTGGGTAAATTATAATAATTCACTAATCTGAAATAAGGCTATTTGGGGATGATTCCCCTTACTAACCTTTAATCCAGTGAGGTCGCAGTGAGGTCGTTATAATTTACCCAGATCATTGTAATAAACCATCCAGCTATTGGAGTACCCCCCCACGGCTTAGGACCCCCCATATCACGAATGATGATAAGCATGAAATTTGGCGCTGCCCCATCGACAAACCCGCTTGTCCGTTGAGCTCGAACACCCTGTACATTGGAGTTGCAGACCTACAGCAATAAGCCTTCAGAAAAAGCATGGCTCAAATGATTTACCCCAACAATTGGGTGGTCTATAAAGACCACATAATCTCAATCATAAGTGAAGAATCATGCACACAATAATTCCTAACTGCCCAAGAGATTCCAATTATAGATGATCACTCCCGAAATGATCATACACACAATGAAATTTAATCAACTCTCAAGAATCCCAATAAGAATTATAAAATAATCATATACCATATATCCCCTAAAAATCAGATCCTCACTATTCCAATCATCATAACCATCAGACCACATTCAGACCACTAATCCCTCTGGCGAATCCCCAGTCGTCATCATGGCTGAAAAAAAAGACATTGAAAAATGGTCATCTATGACTTGGATGATGAATTGGGTACCCTCGTGACTTAGGAAACCAGCAACTTCATAGAGGCAGATAGGGCTCGGATCCGCGGCGCCGCCTTCTGTTTGTTCTCTTCGGTTTCTTTCTGCTGCCAGACGGCCGTGACCATCCTGCCATGGGTGGGGAGAACTATGGGAAAATGACGGGAAGATAACCCCAAGTTAAATAGGAAAATGAAGTGAAACACTTGGTAAAATGTAATTATAGTTGCATTACCCTTAAATATTGGGGAAAATGTGGTTAAATGATGATCAAAAATGATCAAAGAACATTTAACATCATTTAACGTTGGGCCTGCCCTAGTGACGAATCCAGGATTGAGTTTTTCGGAATGTGGATGGATAAGCTGCGTCTCTTGCCGAACTTGATTCAGACCCGTTAGCGGAATTTGCTCAAAGCGAATCAAATACTGCTTACTTGACATTCAATGATATGCAATGACTGACATGAAACACATGATCTCACATGATCACCTGGTTGGTGGTATACCTACCCCTCTGAAAAATGATGGAGTGAAAGTCAGTTGGGATGATTTTCCATTCCCAACTGTTTCTGGAAAGTCAATCCAAATTCCATGGTTCCAGTCACCACCAACGAGTGATTATCAGCATTAACCACCATTAACCACTATTATTGGTATATAATCCCATGAATTAAAGATGATTATCCCATTATAATCCCATATAATAACCATTAATATTCACCATATATTACCCTCTGGTAATGACTAACAGTTTGCTATTGAAAATGACCATAGAAATAGAGGATTTTCCCATTAAAAATGGTGGATCTTTCCATAGCTATTTTGACATAACCAGAGGGTAATTATCCCATTATAATCCCATTATATCCCATATATTATTATAATCCCATATAATAACATTATAATCCCACTATTATTATCTATTATTGGTATATAATCCCATTATATTAACCGTGACGAGCCAACTTGAAACGCAGATGTCGCTTTGCTCGTCTCATGTCATCTCCAGGATTCCCAGCAAACGCGGCTGCCGATTGGCCAGGGGCATGTAGTCTTCCTCTCCCTCGGAGCGCCCCGTGAAATCCTTCGAAAATCTGAAAGGATAAATCAGGATCCGAATAAATCAGGGGTTGATTGACTAAATAGTTATACAGTTATACAACTTATATATATATATATATATATATATATTGTATATATATATATTATATACATATATTATATTATATATATGATATTATATATATGATATTATATATATACAAATCTATTTAGCCAATTAAAGTTGGTTAAATTAATGTCATTGAGAATAGCCACCATGCTGGGGTCACCGACCTGCGACGTCTGTGCATTGAGTTTCTCCACGAAAATATCTGCTTGGGTCAGCAGTTGAAGCTCCTACCCAATAACCCGCCCCGAGTTTAAGGAAAATCATGGAAGACCCCTTGACTTCTTCCCAAAGTCTCAGAGATTCTGTTTGCAAGTACGAAAAGTCGCAACTCAAGTTAGACATGGAAAATATATGTTTAAAACAGAACGATGAGCAAAGAATTCTTCTGTGTTTGGATGTGCTTGGGCTTCGCGTTTATAAACCCATAGCCATTGAGCTTCAAAACCCTGGTACCCTGGACATTAAAAAAAACACCTTCAACAAATGGTCCCATGAGTCTCATGACAATATATGATATGTTGCTATATGCTATGTAACCCATGTGTATTATCAGCTTGTATTATCACCATTTCTGAACTATTATCAGGTTGGATAATATGATATGTGATAATCCAACCTGATAATAGAAGATGGTCAATGAAAAAAAACTGTGCCAACTCTACATTCGAAGCTCTCATCATTTCCCAATTTCTGTGGCTAAGACTAAATCGCTAAATCCCATGATATCCCACCTGAGATGTTCATAATCCCTATTGCTGTGCTCACCACTTTTTTCGAACAGCATTCATCCCAGTTCCCAGAAACCCTCTAAAAACAGGTCAAAATGGCCATTGATACTTAACTTACCTATGACTAAAATGGCGATTTTTTCCGTGGTGACGGTCACCGCCCATCGCCATCACCCATGTCCTGAGACGACATCGCCTGTTGCTGCTGCTGATTCAGTCTCCGGCGACCTGAAGATAGGGCTTGGAAGATGAGTGAAACCACTAAAAAATTGTTATTTTCAGGGTCTATGTTAATTTACCAGAGGGTAACATGTTGGGGATTGCTAAGTTGGGTGACAACTTACGGAAAATGTATGGTTTAACATATATATATATATATATTATATCTATGATTATCTATGATTATCTATGATACTCTATAGTTCGATGGGTATATAAAATTACATGGGGAGTGCAGTTGAAGTAGGAAAAAATGCTATAATCATGGTTCTAACCCCTCATAAAAAGGGATATAAGCCCTATATATATAACTATAGTCATCTACAGTCTATATACATTATATACATGCATCAGTGGATACTTTTTTTGGTGATGTTCAAACCCCCTGAATATCCCTGAATTCTGCACAGCATTCTCAGTTCTCTGCGCTCTGCTTGCTTGGTGATGATCTCTCCACATTTCTGGAAGTCTTTGCCTGGCGTCCGGGCTGAAGTTTGGACATGCCACAGACATCCCAGTTACTACGGTACTGCGTACTGCGTAGAGCGTATGCAAGGGAAACGTATGGAGAATCTACTACTTTGTTGAACATGATGTATTCGTACATCATTACACATACATCGTCTGCTGCTTTCAAGTCATGCCCAAAATATGCTGCAGCATATTTTTAGAAAAAGTTGGGATGCAAAAGTGGTTATCATTTTTTCAAAGACTTGAGACCACAAACCAGTCAGTAACAAATACCCTCTGGTAATTTAACATAGCTATTGAAAATGGTCCATAGAAATAGTGGATTGTCCCATTAAAAATGGTGATTTTCCATAGTTTTTTGTATGTTTACCAGAGGGTACATAAAAAGCTGACCCATTTATGGTTGAAACCACCAGGTGGTTAAGGCTCATCCCATCTGTGTTTGGCTCATCCTCAACTTGAAATTCACCGTTTCTGCTGGACGATGACGTCATCATGTCCATTAAATACTATCTAGAAAGATCTAGATATAAGTTATAGATAGTTATAATGTAGTTATAGTAGTTTGGAAATCTGGAATCACCATTTTAAGCATTATTTTATGGGCCATGGGTCTACCGTAGAAACATCCAAGCTGCTCGTCCACGTCAGACCGAGCCCAAGGCCGAAATGGGTTCGGTGTTCCAAACAACAGCGCCTCGAACGATGCGAAATCCGAGCTTCACCCATGGTGAATCTGATTTATATTGATTTATACCATTTATACCTGCCAAAAAAAATGTTTTAGCTGTTGAATGGACTTTTTGTTGACCATTGGTAGAAAAAGATTAAAGTACTAAAGTATCCAACCAAGGTTGTTGACCCAGCAATCATATGCCAATAATATCCAAGATTTCGCTTGGAATTTTCAAGCAACTTCTTTGAGGTTCAGGATAAGCGGCTTAAATGCTTTGGGGCAATTCTGTCCGATTCTAATTGTTTGTCATGCTAGCCTTTTTTGGCTGTTTAGCCCTAATAGTTTGATAAATGTTTGATATGTTTAGGATACTCCAAAAAACAAAGTAACAACAAAATGACCATCACTGCTGGGAATCTAAGCGAAAACAAAAAGGAGGCTCTGAACAACAGCTGTCCATCCAGGTACACGGTGGTTACCACAGTTGTGTCTGTTTCAGGTCATCGGCTTGCCAGTCAAATGACCATTGCGTCTGTGAATTCCCATTGGTTGGATATTGTTACCATCAATATCCTGAAGTGCGGTGAAAAACACGAAATGATCTGAAATGGAATTGAAATGGAGGCTTCCTAAGTCATGCGGGCATCATGGGGGCACTCCCGGCCCAGTCATCAGACCATTTATCTTAGTAATTCTTAGTACTAGTATCGAAACAACCATGGTGACAACTGGGGATCCCCCATGACTTAGGAATCTTAAGAAACCATGATCCTATGCCCAGCAAAATCCCCTCCAAGAATTTCAAGGCTTGACCACGAAAACGCCCAGCGACTGCAAGACCAGGATCACGAAGTCTGCAGCCGGCACATTGACCTGCGTCTGACCTGCCACACAAAATCTCTTAGACGTTGGAGTCCAAGTAACTAAGTAGCACCTAACGTGAATGGGTCATGGATGGTAATGGGACATTAAACATGGAAAATGAATGTGCGAGTCAATCAAACAAGTATTTCGAAAAGCAAATTTGAAGCCCAGTTCTTGATTAGACTAAGATTTAGAGGCATCATCACGTACACATTCCCCCAATTTCTGCAGAAATGGATCGAACTGGGCAAAAAACAACATCCTCCCGCTAGTTGATGTGATTTTCTGTTTCTTGCATGTTGTTACTTCCGATTTCCTGGCAGTGTCACCATCTCTAACATATTAACATCATTAATAACTAATTCTGGAAATTATGGAAACTCATCTTGCTTCAATATTTTCATCAAATCAGCATACCCTCTGGTAATTTGTTACATAGCTATTGAAAATGGTCCATAGAAATAGTGGATTTTCCCATTGAAAATGGTGATTTTCCATAGCTATGTAAACATTTACCAGAGGGTAAATTCCATTAGATCCCATTAGACCACCACAAAGTCCCATTAAATCCCATTAAAATGGTGGTTTACCAGAGGGTAAATCATGTGTAAATGGACCGTGCCATACCGTGCCCCGGCCTCCAGGTCCCGGTCGTCGGCCATCCATCCAGCGGGACATCATCCTCGCGGAACGTCGTTTTTTGGGTACGACTGGAATTCCAGAATTTTCCACCCGGATTTAATGGGATTTCATGGTGGTTTAATGGGATTTAATGGGATTTAATGGGACTTTATGGTGGTCTAATGGGATCTAATGGAATTTACCCTCTGGTAAATGTTTACATAGCTATGGAAAATCACCATTTTCAATGGGAAAATCCACTATTTCTATGGCCATTTTCAATAGCTTAGTTTACCAGAGGGTATGCATGTAGTGGGTCAATTACACCATAGAAACAACAGGAGTACAATTCATGAAGTCATTGAAACATGTTCGGTGCAACCCTACGTTGCTCCGCGCCGGAATTGCGGAAAGGTTGCGTATTTTTGAAATGCCATGTCTGTGACTTTCAGTGTGTATGTGATCCATGATCATCATCCCCATCATCGTCATCACCATCATCGTCATCATCACCATCATCGTCATCGTCATCATCATCGTCGTCGTCATCATCATCATTATCATCATGAGATCATGATGATGATGATGATGATGACGATGATGACGATGATGATTGTAAGTGTGGAGCAACGTCCGGGTTGGACGGAACATGTTTGAAAGGGCCGAAGATGTGAAATGATAAAACTGCACAGGGATCGGAGGTAAATTTTGCCCATATGGGGCAAGGAGAACCCTACCAACACATCCACGGGTCAGACATATGCTACCAATTGATCTACAAATTGATGGAATTCAAGCAAAACCAATAATTAACTATCCACAATTTCACATAATATGTCCAGAAACTGGTTGGCAAAAACATGCAAAAACCATCTCCAATGGTTATTTTTTTTTTGCCGATTATCGTTGGATTTGTCACACAAAATGTGGCTCAAAAAATTCAATCCATGGCCACTTGTGACAATCTGCTGTACCCTCTGGTGAACTAACATAGCAATTGAAAATGGCCATAGAAATAGTGGATTTACCCATAAAAAAATGGTGATTTTCCATAGCTATGTTAGTTCACCAGAGGGTATCTGTTTTAAGATCGCTGAACCGCGGACACGTCACAAGCCCCAAAATCAATGCTCTGCCTGTCAATTTCAGCAACTTGCACCAAGCGGTATCGAAGGATGCCGGCCACAACCTCAGGTTAAACGTCAGTGAGATGAAAACGGTTTCGTCTCCATGCCGGCTGAGAAATATTAGTATTAAAGTGGCATCATCATCATCATCAGCAGCAGCAGCATCATCATCATCCCAAATATGGAGCCTAAAACTTGATCTAGATATTATATATATATTATATTATATATATATATTACATCTATTTTGAATGTTGACAAACAATTCATCCTGCTGTTTCAAAAAATGTTTTTCAGCCACTCCGCTGCATCTGAGCAACATCCAGTTGCAGATAGCCGTTGGATTCCATGTCGTCCAAACGTGTCACCAGGGTGTCCGACCTTGGCCAATGGACAAACCCAGGCTTTTGGGGGTTCCAGTGGCTGCAAAATCGCAAAATTCCCCAGCGATGATGTCCGAATATATATATATAATATACATACAATACGAGTATATATATATATATTATAATATTATATATATTATAATATATTATATATAATATACAATATATAATATGTAATATGGAATGTATAAGAAATAATATATGATATATAATAAAAAATATATAATATATAATATATAACATGTAATATCTAATATATAATATATAATATATGATATTTAATATATAATATATAATATATGATATTTAATAAATAATATATCATATATAATATAATATATAATATATTATATATTATATATTATATATAATATATATAATACATTATATATAATATATCATATATAACAAAATATAAAAAATAAAAAATATATAATATATAAAATATTATATATTATATATTGTATATAATATATGATATAATATATAATATATAAAATAAAATATAAAATATAAAATATAATATAAAAAATATTATATAGTATATAAAATATATAAAATATAATATATAATATATAATATATTATATAATATATAAAATAAAATTAAAAAAAAACATATATATGATATATAATTTATAATATATAATATATATATTATATAATATACAATATATTTTATATAATCTATAATATATAATATATAATATACGATATATAATATAAAATATATAATATATAATATATAATATATAATATATATATAATGTCTAATATATAATATATATAATGTATAATATATATTATATATAATGTAAAATATATATTATATATAATGTATAATATATAATATATATATAATGTATAATATATAATATATATATAATGTATAATATATAGTATATAATATATAATATATAATATATAATATATAATATAAAATATATATATATATAATGTATAATATATATTTATATAATATATAATATATAATATATAATATATAATATATAATATATAATATATAAAATAATATATAATATATAATATATAATGTATAATAACACCAACCTAATAATATTGTTATAGTTATATATATATATAGAGATGCCCATTCATTTCTCAGCTAGACATCTTTGATTACGATTTATTAAAAAGAAAAGAGTGGAAGGCGGGACCATCTCCTGGATGCGTCCTCTGCGGTGGTTCGTTCGGTCTCTGGGCTGCCCGACAACAGCTTCTTGAAGGGCGGAGTTGTGCCCAAATAGTCCAGAGTGCACCTCGCGACATGCAGAACGGCTACTCTATGTGACACAAAATATTCATAAATATCAAACATTCCAACAAAACACAAAATATTCATAAAATTTCATAAAGATCAAATATTCCAACAAAATCCAACAAACAAGCGGGACAGGGCTTGTTTGGGATCGAGGATAGAAATGGAAGCATCATGTGTGAAAATTTCAAAATCCCTCTAGGGTGCCAGCAGCAGAACTTCAGTCACCTGAGAGAGTCATCACAAGCGCACAGCTTACTACTGGGGTATCCACAACAAATCATCCCCTGTTGCTCCAAAAAACTATGCAACTCTCAGAGACAGCAGGGAAATGCTGTGCATCTGAAGCGCCTTGCGCAGCTTTAGTTGAGATAAGCAGTGTCCATGAAGCGACTTTCTTGCCTTTTGCATTTTTGTTAGTGGAATGTCATTTCTGTTGCAATCGAAACTGTCTGGGTTTGGAATCCATTAATGCAGCTCATAAAGCTCAGCCCGTCAGTCGAATGATCAGCCAGCCACATGAAATTAGTCCGCTTGTCCACCAACCCATCAATCATCATTGAACAAAAATGCTTCAAAACCACTATAATCCACTATATAATGAATAAATATATATAAATATGATCCTTCACCTTTTTCTTGTGTTTCCTTCCGTGCACATGGATGAAACAAACTACCCTAGATCCTGTGCTATAGACTATCGATGTCGTCACGCCAAGAAACCACGTGCAAAACAGACACACAGTCTGGTGGCGTTTGCATCATCTCGGGCTGGCAGCACGGGCTTCGCATTTTTGGCAGGAGCGAAGTTATCTCTTTGGGGTCTCAGGGTCTAGTCGGGGAGTCACCCAGGTTTGAAACCTCATCGAAATACAACGGCAATACCATGGGATATATAATTACGTAGATATATGTAAATACAGAAAACATCAGAAAACCAAGCACTTTTATTTGGGTTTAGCAAACACCCGAATGATTGCCATTTTTAGACATTGAAAATATTTGAAATTGATGTTTTAAGATGGTTTAAACTAATGGATCTTGGGTTTGGGGTTTTCAATGGTTTTCCACAATGGTCTACAGACACAGCCATGCCCGACTTCGACTTCGACACGCTATCCGAGGCATTGGGGATCATGTAAAATCAAAAAGTACCGGGCTAAAGAAAAATATTGGAAACACTAATATTCATGTGTTTTAGATATGCGAATGATTGTTCATGATTTCTCTGAGTTTTTGAAGAAGTGGAGAAATTGAGAACATTGTTCTTCAAAACAGCCAGACAAGACATGTGAGGATGTCGTGAAAGGAATCAACTGGGTGTTTAGCCAACACCTCTTCTCTGAATTCCTTCGGATTCCGATGAAAATCAACTTCACTGGGCAATGTTCAATTGTTCCAACACACATGAAACATGTTTGAAAATAATATATATATATATATAATACCCCCAACTACTGCCAGGGGGGGGTTGGTTTTTCATAATAGACCCCAAAATCCAAGGGTCTGAAATTGTGTGCTCCCAGTAAAACCGTAACTTTTAGACCATGATCCTAGACCCCCCCCTGGGTATTCCAAATAGGGGTCTAGGATCATGTGGAACAGGGTTATCATGATGCTGACAAGTGATGTCAAGTTCGGGTAGGTTAAGAATAGACCCCCCAAAAAAACGGGCCCGAAAAGATTTCAGACCCCATGTTTGGTGATCGATTTGTTTTCAGTGACCTTACAATGTCAGACCCCCTTTCTGGGACAACCAATCTTAGACCCCAAAGGTGCAAATTCCAAATTTGACCAATGTCCCAACAGGTTGAAAGTCCCAACAGAAAATGCCAGGGGTTGAGCTGTGGAATTCAGTTTTTTTTTGTTTCATTGGGGGTCTGAAATGGTATTTTGCATCATCAGCTGTTGAAAGAATGGTTCAACCTCCAAGTAAGACCAACCTAGACCCTCTGTTGCGAGCCTACGCCTTGTTTGCGAGCTCTACATGGTTTTTCTTGCATATTTTGAAATGATGTCCAATTGAATGGTGTGTGAATCTTGAAATACGACCCTTTTTGTTAATGTGTTTTTGTCCCGACAGGTTGAAAGTCCCAACAGAAAATGCCAGGGGTTGAGCTGTGGAATTCAGTTTTTTTTGTTTCATTGGGGGTCTGAAATGGTATTTTGCATCATCAGCTGTTGAAAGAATGGTTTAACCCCCAAGTAAGACCAACCTAGACCCTCTATTGTGAGCCTATACCTTATTTGTGAGCTCTACATGGTTTTTCTTGCATATTTTGAAATGATGTCCAATTGAATGGTGTGTGAATCTTGAACTACGACCCTTTTTGTTAATGTGTTTTTGTCCCAACAGGTTGAAAATCCCAACAGAAAATGCCAGGGGTTGAGCTGTGGAATTCAGTTTTTTTGTTTCATTGGGGGTCTGAAATGGCATTTTGCATCATCAGCTGTTGAAAGAATGGTTCAACCTCTAAGTAAGACCAACCTAGACCCTCTATTGTGAGCCTATACCCTATTTATGAGCTCTACATGGTTTTTCTTGCATATTTTGAAATGATGTCCAATTGAATGGTGTGTGAATCTTGAAATACGACCCTTTTTGTTAATGTGTTTTTGTCCCAACAGGTTGAAAGTCCCAACAGAAAATGCCAGGGGTTGAGCTGTGGAATTCAGTTTTTTTTGTTTCATTGAGGGTCTGAAATGGTATGTTGCATCATCAGCTGTTGAAAGAATGGTTCAACCTCCAAGTAAGACCAACCTAGACCCTCTGTTGCGAGCCTATGCCTTGTTTGTGAGCTTTACATGGTTTTTCTTGCGTATTTTGAAATGATGTCCAATTGAATGGTGTGTGAATCTTGAAATACGACCCTTTTTGTTAATGTGTTTTTGTCCCAACAGGTTGAAAGTCCCAACAGAAAATGCCAGGGGCTGAGCTGTGGAATTCAGTTTTTTTTGTTTCATTGGGGGTCTGAAATGGTATTTTGCATCATCAGCTGTTGAAAGAATGGTTCAACCTCCAAGTAAGACCAACCTAGACCCCCTGTTGCGAGCCTATGCTTTTTTTGTGGGCTCTACATGGTTTTTCTTGCATAGTCCAATTGAATGGTGTGTGAATCTTGAAATACGACCCTTTTTGTTAATGTGTTTTTGTCCCAACAGGTTGAAAGTCCCAACAGAAAATGCCAGGGGTTGAGCTGTGGAATTCAATTTTTTTTGTTTCATTGGGGGT